GAGCTCATAGGGTTCCTGTGCCCCCCACCCAGGCACAGCCCATAGGCTCCCTGAGCATCCTCCCCAGGCAGAGCCCATAGAGTCCCTGGGGATCCTCTCCAAAGCAGATCTCATAAACTCCCTGTGCCCCCCACCCAGGCAGAGCACATAGGCTCCCCATGCCCCCCCCAGCCCGAACAGGGCACATGGGTTTCATAGAATCATATCATAGAATTCTAGGGGTTGGAATGGACCTTTTAGAACACGTAGTCCCAACCTCCTGCCACAGTCAGGGACACCTTTCCCCTAGCTCGGGTTGTTTATCCAACCTGGCTTTGAACACTCCCCACCCTGCACCAGCAGGACCTGGGGGTACCCCCCAGCACAGCTCTGTTGTCTCCAAGGCCTCATCCCCAGCCTCAGGAGCTGCTCTCTTCTGCTCACAGACGTGTGGGGTCTGTAAAAATTTGCCCCTCAAATTAAACAGCTAGTCCTGACCCCCATTACAGCCACGTGCATGTGACAAGATGGGGAAGAGCAGACAGGAGCATCTCCCCTGCCCCTCGCTGGCAACAGAGAGGTCCAGGCATGAAGGAATTGTCCTTTATTTGGGAAGTTCACAGTCAGTTTAGGGTGGGAGGACAGTGCTACAACCCCCCCACGAGCAGAGCTGAGGCTGGGGCAGCGGTGGGCACTGGGGAGGGCTGCAGGGCAGAGAGGGACCCCCGAGAGTTTGGACCCACAGCCTGGAGAGAGGTCTCCAGTGCTCCCCTCCAACATCCCTCCCCCCGTGGGTTTCTTTGGCTTCCTTTGGGCATTGCACGCGCTGGGGATGTGCTGAGGAGGGGAGTGGGTACCTCTGGGAGGGCTGAGCCACTGGCAGCCCTCAGGACACAGGGAATGTCACTGCTGGGCACGTCCACAGCACTTCCCTCCCCACAGCTGGGCCCAGTTTCCTTCCACTTGCCTCCCCTGCCCATCTCTCCACGTAGGCAGGACCACGTCACCCAGGATGGGGATGGCCATGACATACCAGTGTGCAGGAGCTCCCACTTCCCCTGCCACACTCAGGGCTGGGGGCTGAGCCCCTGATTGTCAAGAGGCTGCTGAAGGGTCTCTGCTCTGCCTGCAGCTCCATCCCCACAGCTTCACCCACCTGCGCCAGGAGGGATACGGGGAATGTCGGGAGGGAGATCCAGCACCTCCGGCAGAGAAAGCATCTGTGTTTCTGCAGCTGCAAGGGGTGGCAGAGCCTCGGGGAAACCCCTTGGCAGAGAGAGAAAGAGAGAGAGGCACAACCCAGCCCTGGTCCTGTGCCGTGGGGCCACCCTGCTGCCATCCTTAGTTCCTCGCTGCGATGACCACGGACAAGGCCACGCCGCCGAGCGCGATGGCTGTCGCACCGAAGAGCCACTTCCAGGGGATGGACTGGGGAGGAGAGAGCAGGAGGTGAGGGGACATGGTCACTGTGCTGTCTCCCAGCACCCACTGGGCAGCCCAGACAGGGCAGCCCAAAAAGGCAAGTGCTGCGTCGGCACGTGGATGGCATGTCCTCAGGGACAGCGTGTGCCCAGCTGACAGCGATTTCCACCAGCACAGCCATCAGGAGCCAACAGAACAGCCTCCTGAGCATGGCAGCTGGGAGCAAAGTCCAGACCCTCCAGCTGGCATGGCTGGGATCCGGTGGATGGAGCCAGCACAGTCTGTTATCAGTGTTTTCCTGGCACAGCTCCTGGAGCACAGCCCCTGCTCCCAGTACTGACACAGCCCACCACGAGGGTCACATCTGCACCCACTCTGCCTGGGAGCAGGATTGTGTTCCCCATAGGGACCCCCAACCTGCTATGCCACCCTCTGGGAGCTCAGCACCAGCCCTTACCCAGGGCAGTTTGTCTTTGTACTTCCTGGGGGTGCTGGTGGCGCTGGGATTCCCGAGCATCTTTCTGTACATCTCTGTCTCCACACTCCTCTGGTCTGCATGTTTCTTCACCAGCTTGGAGAGCTCGGCGTGGATGGTCTGGGGAGGAGCACAGTGTTATCAGCCCTGCACCATCCCTGCCTGCAAGGGAGGGGACAGGGACCACGGTGTCACCACCAGCACGTTCCATCACCCCTGGGACGTGCAGGGACTTCGTGGAAGAGCTTAGAAGCAGCTGTAGAGGTGATGGCCTCATCCTGCCCTACTCCTCTGCACCAAGGGGCTGTGCCAATCCACATGGCACACCCAGGCTGGCATGAGACACCCTGCAGGTTCTTTTTGGCCACCCAAGCTCTTCTCTGCCTGGCAGCAGGCAGCAGAGCCCTGGGGCTGATGCCAGACATCAGGAAAAGGAATTTATCCTTTAATTGAGATGGAAACGTGTCTGCCTTGAGGACAGACATGCCTGAGCTCTCCCACTGTTGTCTGGAAGGAGGCTGGGAAACTGGGCTGGAACTCAAGCTGGTCTGAAGTGGGGTTGCACCCTGTGGGGCTAGCAGGCTCCCAAAAAGCAGAGCCAGGACGCCAAGCACAGCAGTGTGGCAGCAAGGACTTCACGGTGGCCCTGGTGGCACAGCTGTGCTGTGCCCTCTGCTGGGGACACCTCCGAGGAACACCAGCTCCAGGGCTTCCCCAGGCTGTGCCACGCTGGGAAACGCTGCCTCCAACACCAGGAATCTGGATGTCTGGGGGATGGAAAGCTGCTTGGAGCACACCAGGATTGCCCATCAGCGTGGGACAAACATCAGCATCCTGCTCTGCTCCCAGAACATGCACTTCCAAGGAGTCAGGAGAAGGGATGGCTGTGATACCTGAATGGTTGGGCAGCCCCAGGTTTCCCCATGGGAGGCAGGTGGGGCCCAACCTTTCCCTAGTGTTTTCCCCACTGGGAGGGAGCCTGTGAGTCAGCAAGGACTGGAGAGGCACTACCACTTCCCTGGGAGTCCCAGCAGCAGCCAGAGAGACCAGTAATTTGCTGTCCCTGTGGTTTCACTGGCAACGTCACTGCTGGGCATTTGGATTTTCCAGCCCTCTCCAATTAAAAGCTCCATCAGAACAGGCTGGTGAGCAACTCCCTGGACAAGTGACGTTGCTGGTGACGCACGGAATGGCTCCTGGTGCTGCTTCCTTTCCACCCTGACCTTCCTGAGTTGAGATTTCACACACACTTGCTAGGAAGTGTAGCTTTTAGGATCCTGCTCACTCTTCCATGGGTGCTCAGATCACACCTGTGGGTGCTGTGGGACCACCAAGCACCTGTTTGTGCCCTGTCCTACCCATAACCTTCAGGCACTGGATCAGGACACAATCACAGAATCCTAGAATTTTAGGGGTTGGAATGGATCTTAGAGATCATCCAGTCCCAAACTCCTGCCATGGGCAGGGACACCTTCCCACTAGACCAGGTCTCATCCAACCTGGCTCTGAACACTTCCAGGCTTTGGGGATCCACCTGATGATGCCTGATGGTCTGGTGAAAATCCCAGTAAAGTGGGTATAACTCAACCCAGTCAAGGATTAAAACCCACCTGGAGAACTAAGCCCCGCCCAGCTTGACCCCATGCAAGTCTCTCCCAGTCTCACTCCTACTGGGGCCATTTCCTGGCACTGGGTTTTGATTTCTCCCGAGGCTCCAGTCCTGCAGCTGATCATTAACCGACAGGAAATTCCTGACCCAGAGCTCGCCCTGCCCGAGCGCTGGACTGAGCTCTGGGACGCCCAGTGAATCATGCTCAGGGCTGCTCAGTGAGTTTGTGGGGACTCAGCTCTGCTCCACTTCCTGCAGCAATGGCACGAGCTGCTGGAGACACCCAGGGAAGCTGGAGCAGCCAGGGCCAGCCACATAGGACAGCTGGAGCAGGGGACGGTTGGCAGGGAGTGCTGCTACTGCCAGGACCAAAGGGCAACAAGGGAACCTCATAACATAGAGATAAGGGACCCACCAGCCCAGCCAAGCTTGGATGTTGCACCACGTGGGATGTCCAGGCCCTGGGGGCTATTCCCAGTCTCCCTTCATGGAGCTACTAGGGGCTTCAGCATTCCATAGGTGACACCAAGGTTTGTAGGGACACAAAGAGAGGAGCATTCCCAGCTCAGAGGGATCACGGGCAGCACACACCTGCAGCCTACCTTGTTTGAAGGCTCCAGCTTCAACGCTGTCTTCAAGATGGGAATGGCCTCCCTGTACTCTCCTTGCTGAGCCAGGACCTGGGAGATGAGCCATGGGTTGAGGACACTGAGGTCTGTCCCTCAGTCCCTTGTCATGCCATGGAGAAGGGACCCAACCTCACCTTGCCCTTCCGAAAGAGAGCCTTGATGTTCTCTGGCTGGTGCTCCAGCACCAGGTTACAGGACTTGAGAGCTGCCTCATAATGGTCCAATTTCAGCTGCGAGGCTGCCAGGTTGTTGAGGCATTTCACCTTCACATCCAGCAGCTCAGCCTCTTCATCTGGGCTGAAGTCAACTGCAAAGACCCCAGATCCAAGTTACAGTGGGCAGAGAGCCCAGGGGATCCTCCCTGGGGTGGGGAGCAGGTACCTTTGGAGCTGGAGCCGACGATCTTGAGGGCAATGTCGTAGGAGTTGATGGCCAGCACGTAATCTGCTTGTTCGTAGAAGAAGTTGCCACGCTCTCGCTTGCGGTTGGCCAACTCAACCTTCTCCTTCCCACTGAGCAGCTCCAGGTCTGGTGCATCCCGAGCTGCCAGCAGCTCCACCTCCAGCGTCAGGGATGTGTTGGGTGGGATGTCAGGGCTCCTGCACAGACAGGGACCACTGTCACCTCTGTCAGCCCCACCAGCCACTGGGATATGTTGATTTAGCACCATGGCCCAGAAGTCAGAGCCAAGGATGTGTCCTGGGACAGGGCATGAGGCAGATTGTTCCCCATAGCCAGGATACACTGCCATTCCCTGCAGATGGTGTCCCTGCCTGTGGAACTGAGGCTTGCCTGGGCTGACACCAAGAGAGCAAGGAATAATTTCCACATCCCTTTTGGGACCACCCAGCTCCACCCCAAACTCTCCTCGCTCACCTGCCCTGAGCACCATAGCAGTACTTTGCATCTGACACAATCAAAGCTGTCTCCTTCATTTCCAAGAGCTGCACACACAGGTCCAGAGCCTGCAGGGAACAACATGGAATCATGGAACAGTTTGGGTTGGAAAGACTTTCAAGCATCATCCACTTCCAACCCCTTGCCATGGGTAGGGACATCTTCCATCAGCTCAGGCTGCTCCAAGGCCCATCCAACCTGGCCAACATCATGGGCAGAGAGCACAAACAAGAGCAGAGGAGCCACTTCCAACCCACAAATGGGACATCACCACCCCCAACCCCTGCCTGTGCCCCCTGAGCTGAGGTCGTGCTCCACAGGGTGCAAACACAGCAGCAATAAATCCAGGTGAGCTTTGTCCCAGCCCTGACCTGCATGACATCGCAGTCCCCCAGCGTGAAGGTGAGGGCAGGATCCTCCTCCACCACAGTGCCATCGTCCAGTGTGGCCTTCAGCCTGATGGTCACGTCCTGGCCCTTCTGGGGACGAGTGTCCACCCCCTGCCCTGGCACCAGTGTCTTCTTCTTGAGCAAACCACTACCTGGGCAGGGAGAAGCCAGAGGCACATCAGGATGCGGCGAGGTGGGAAAAGAACAACTCCCATCACCCTGCCCTGGCTCCTGAGCAGCCTTCACTGCACTGGGAGCACTGGAAAAGCCTGTAAGGCTCCAGAAGGGAACATCCTCCTTACCCAGCACA